CCAAGCTGAAACAGTGTCCTGTATTTTTCAGTTAAAATAGCTCACGTAGGTAGCATTTCATGGAACCCTTGACTTACTGTGTGGAACCCCGCTTGAATCACTTGTCTTGGAATTCTGATTATAATAATGCTAGTTGGTGACATTTATTTAAACTCAGAGCTGGAGGGTTATGAACTTTGACTGTGTATAAGGGGGTGTATCTGTGAGCCAGTCTGTGATTGCCTTTTCATATAAGCCTATCCTGAGGTGATGTTCCTTTAGCACTGCAGTAGTTGATTAAGGGGCGGGGGTGGGGTAGGGTGGGGTGGGGGGCGACGGGACAGCTTCTTCACTGACTTCTAAACTGTGAAGGACCCACAAAAACGGACTTTAACTTACAGCAGTTTTTCCTTGCTAGTTTGCAGTGATGCTGTGATCTGTAGTTGGTGATACCTTATGAGGTATTTTTAAAACGACAAACATTAAATGTTAACAGAGAAAGACAACCTTTCAGCCAGTTCGGACACAAGGATGAATAAGGCTTAGTTTAAGGGGACAGTGACTTATGTTTAAAAGTAATGGACTAGGATTCATCTAAGGTTTTAACAGTCTGGCTGTTCACTAATCCGTATCAATCTTTTCCTCTGAATGCTGCACAGATGGGAATGTACAGTTCCCATGTGGGTGCCAGATTGAGACTGAGGCCTTTCTTCCAGCTCTTGAATTTCTGATTTTGTTTTCTAAGATCTATACTTCATTTTTACTATGAAGCAGAAAAGGTTATTTTTTTTTAAGTTTGGTTTTATTAAGGTAGTTACCTTTATGTTGGCATATATTATTTATGTAATTACTTCAGAATTCATAAGAGAAATATCTAACATCCCTAACTAGGTCGGCTTTTATGACCAGATATTTGCATAGTGATACCATAAGTACGTAAGTGGAGAAATAAAATCATCAGGTGGTTCTGACTGCTAATCCATGTTTTCGTGGCCTCAGACACACATGCTAAGTTGGTGGTGTTGGAGAGCAGGGGTCCTAGAGACTGTGTTGAAACTGTTTCTCTTCCGCTGAAGTCCTTTGTTACATTCTGCCTAGAGAAAGAACGGCTGAGTGAAGGAAGAGGAACATGGGGGAGCAGAGATTGTTCTGGTCACGTCTTTCCTTACACCCCCCCCCAGCTCTGGCCTGGCAGGAGCAGCGTGGCCAGTGGTCCCAGTGTGCGTGTTCTTAGAACCACCCTCGCCATCTTAGATACAGTGAGCATCACCTAGGCACGGCCCCTTCAGGGTCGGCGCGTGGCCATTGCTGGGCCCCCCTTCCTGCAGCTCTTGGCTTCTGGCGTCTGGGAACAACTGACTCTTTTCAGAGGTTCAGTTTTTGCAGTTTTTGTTTCAAGGCTCTGAGTTGTAATAATTCCAGCTGCTTCCTCTCTGTTTCCTTCAGCTGTGTTGATTTTTGCTTCCGTAAAAACCTGTCTTTCTTTTTCCTTTTCAGTCCTCCAGTTCCTGGTTAGCAATTACATTAAATTCTTGGGGCTGATGAGCTGGCTCAGTAGGTCAAGGTTCTTGCCACCCAGGCTGATGACCTGAGTTTAATCCCAGAGATCCAGTGGTGGAGGGAGAGAACCGACTTCTACAAGTTGTCCTCTGACCTCCACACATGTGTTCATACATACATATACACATACACAAATAAATAAATGTAATAAAATATGGAAAAAATCTATTAAAATTATACGTGTGATATTTGTTCTTTTATCATAGCCTGTCTAATACACTTGTCAAAGTAATAGGCCATTACCAACCCAGGTGCTGGGGATGATAACTAGTCCATCTTTCCTGTGGTAGTTATTGAGCCTCTGCAGTGTGGGCAGCTTCTGCTGTCTGTGTGTCCTGTTAGGTGGCCTCTTCTGTGGTCCCAGAGGTGTCTGAGCAAATGTCGTCATACTTGTGTTATTTTTCATCTCAAGGGCAATGATACTGTTTTGTTTTGTTTTCTCTACCTAGTCATTAACATAAGTAAGATCTATATACATGAGGTGCACAATGACTGTTAACGAATGCGCATGCTCGCAGATCACTGTGGAGGGCAGAAGTCATGGTAAACAATATCTGCTAAAGGGGGAGGACCTTGCTGTGGTGATACATTGTGTACCCCAATAAAGCTTGCCAGAGATCAGAGGACAGAGCCAGCCAGTAGATTAGACATAGAGGTCAGGCAGTGGACACCTTTAATCCCAGAAAGTAATATGGCAGGAGAAAACAGGAACTCGCTCTCTTGAGGCTGAGGATTTCGTAGAGGTAAGCTAGTCGTTGGCTGTTCTGCTTCTCTGATCTTTCAGCTTTCACCCCAATACGGTTTTTATTATTATTATTATTATAAGACATTTTAAGATTTATGATTCGTGCTACATCTTATTTTAACAGCTGGCATCTAAACTTCCTCAGAACTTGGAACTGGATCCTCATGTCGTAACTTACATGAAACCCCCCCAGAAGCCACATACCCAAGGCTTCACTAGGCCTTTCCACCCCAGTTATCCTGAGATCGAACCTGCTCATTCTTTTCTGTTGGCTTGTGTTTTGAGACAGGGTTTCTCCATGTAGCCCTGACTGCCCGGGAACTTGTTCTGTAGACCAGGCTGACCTTGAACTCAGAGGTTCTCCTGCCTCTGCCTCTCAGAACCTCACATTCTTACTGGCATATCTTCACCAGTCCTTTGAAGGTATTCCAGAGAAGGGTGAAAGTCAGTCTGAGGTGATACTGTATAGTTTCTCAGCTTTTTGTGCATTATACTCCACTTTGAAGTCTTTCAAGTAAGTCTTCAAGCTTCCCTTGCCCTTCCTGCTCACGGGGCCCACAAATTAACCCAACGTTCCTTGATGTGCTTCCATCATTGGTACTTTTTGATGTGGGAACACCCCCCCAACACACACACTCTCGAATGTGCACACACACACACACACACACACACACGCACGCACGCACGCACGCACGCACGCACGCACGTGCACATGTGGTTTCCAGGTCTTGAAGTTACAGTAATTACAATGTAACACACACTCCTTTGCTGAGTCCTTCACCATCATCTGTGTTATAGACCTTAATGTCATTTCTGTTGGACTCTCCATTAATATAGGTTACCTCCATCTAACTATAAATTAACACATTTATAATTACTGTGTTAGCTCTCTGGTACTGTTGCAGAATACTTGAGCTACTTAAGTGTGTCGGCTCCCAGTTTGGGTGGTCTCTGTCTGTCACTGGCTGCCCTCTTCTTGTTAGGGCTCCATGGTGAGGAGGGAGCACTTGGTGGAGGCCCAGTGTGAGAGAGAGAGAAAGAATGATTGGTGCCACCTTTTTGATAACCCATCTCTAGTGACTTAAGTCGCTCACTAGGTCCCACCTCTTCTCAGTTCTGCCACCTCCCAGCAGCCCCGGTGACTGGAGAGAAACCCTTGAATTACCAGGCTGGGGCACATTTAACAAGCAAGCTAAGAGAGTGCTGTCTCAGTTCCTGCTGTTACTTCTCCTCTTTAATCTGGTCCCCTACTAACTAGATGACTTGACTGACATCTGTGGGAGTGTAGGATTCAAAGGGGGACTTCTTTGAAACTTTGTATGTCTGAACGGTATGATCTCAGCTCCCCGAGGAGCAGACAAGGGCCTTCCCTATCCTGATGGCTCACAGCCCCCTGTGCGCCAATAGCACCTGGGGATCTGATGTCTCTGACCTCTGCCAGCGTGTGCACATGCTCCCTCGACAGACACAGGGATTGCACATAATTAAAAACAACAACAAAATCAACTCGTAAAGGGGAAGAACACCATAGATGAATCAGTAGCCTGAGATTATAGTTACTCAGCCGCAGGCTTGGAGACAATAAGCCAGTCCTTTGACCTTAGGCTTCTTTTTATTATTAAACTGTGTCACTGAGTCCCTTCAGAGTTTTGATCTCATGTTAGTTGTTAATTAACCTGCCCATTCATTCCTAGTATGTTCTAAGTATGTTATCACTTTTTCGATAATTTGCCCAGAATTATGGTAGTCTTGACCTAGCCTTACTGATCCCTTCATGTTATGCATATCTTTATGTGTATTTAAACGGCAATAGCTAATATCTGTGAACCCAGCTTCATAAACATTGACAGTAACTTTCTGTGTGTTCTTCTTGCTTTTGCCTAATCAGTAACTATAACGAATGTGTCCTTTAGTCTTTGGGATTCGATAAAAAATGTTGTGTACAATTACCTAAGCCAGTGGTTCTGAACCTTCCTAATGCTGCGACCCTTTAATAGAGTTCTTTGTGTTGACGTCACCCCCAACCATGACATTATTTTCATTGCTATTTCATAACTGTAATTTCGATGCTGTTAGGAGTCGTAATCCACAAGTTAAGGATTGCTGATCTAAGTAATACTTTTATTTTTAGTTTTGTAAAAGTATTACCAATCCAAGGCTCTGTTTTGATTAAAAAAATATCAATCTTGGACAGGGGTATAACTCAATAGTGGAGTACATTTGATGCTAAATACCAAAAAAAGGAGAGATTTTTTAATTATAGTTCAGGAATTTAAATTTTTATCAGATAGTAGTGTTTAACCATCCACCACAGGTGGTGACTGGTTTTAAAGTTCAGGAGATAATCATCAGAGCAAGTATTTTAAAAAAAGATTCTTTATCTTTCAGTGAAGTTCTGGTTTTATGATTTAAAGTTACTTATTAAAATTAATCTTACTTATGTGTATTGGGTTTTTTTTTTTTTTTGCATATATGTCTGTGTACCATGTGTACCTAGTGCCCTTGGAGGCCAGAAAAGGGCATTGGATCCTAGGAACTGGAGTTACGGATGGTTGTGAGCCCAGCCATGTGGGTGCTGGGAATTGAACTCGGGTCCTCTGGAAGAGCAGCCAGTGCTCCTAACCTCTGAGCCATCTCTCCAGCCCCTAAAGTCACATTAAAAAAAAAAAAATCAACGGGGGTTTGGCAAAATAAGTGTAGCTGGAGTACATAATTTAAAAGAGAAGTTGTTTTATTTGTAAAACGATACTGCTATGGTCTTTGTCTTGTGCTTTCGTTTGCTGGGCTTTTCCCATGTTGTCTGTAGCTGTGTGTCAGGCCGGGACACCACCTCACATAGTTACAGTTGCTCTGGTGGTTCTGGCGAGTGAGACGATGACCTTCTGAACTCACTGAAACGGGACAGCTGTTTAAAATAAAACCCCCTTTGTGGGGACTTACCACCTGCAAATCAATTATTCGCAATGAGAAAGTATGTGCATTTTGATGATTTTAAAGTCAGGTTTTAATTACATTTTAAGTTTTAACCTACTGACTAGTAACAAATACATTTGAAAATACGCTTAAAGAAAACAATAAACTTCTTGTAGAAAAAAATTATCGTTTAAAATCCTGACTATTTGGGGTTGTGATTTACTTAACTTACTAGGGGCTACACTTTCAGATGAGAGTGACCCTTCTTCTCCCAGCAGCTAAGAATTGCCCTTGGCTAGGGGGGAAACTGCCCAGCGCCCCTCCCCACCCGGTCTTGGTGTGTTTCAGGCCTGTACGGTTTTGTACATGGTGTTACAACCGTTAGGATACCGTATGTGTAGCTGCTCTGCTGTGTCCAGAAGACACTGTTTCCCACCTCCGCTGGCTCGTACCCTCTTTCTGCCCCCTCTTCCACCGCGAGCGACCCCTGAGCCTGGGGAGGAGCAAGCGCAGCATGTGTTCTTCTTCAGGACTGCTCTCTGCAGTCTCTTTATACCTTACCTGCTTGCTTGGCTGGTTGTGGGCATCTACTGAAAACAGAGGCTTGTCTGATACGTGGAGCTGCTTCCATCTATGGTTATAATGATAGGTCGTTGGGAGTGTTAGTGTCCAATACTGTGTCCATTTAACAGAATAATAGTAGTAAGTTCTCTCCCAGGGTCTATGATCTGGCTAGCCATAGATTCTTAGCCAGGGAGGAGTTTCATCCTGGGGGGCAGGCCTTAAATCCAACCATGGTTATGCCCATGACATTCATGGCACTATTGGACCAGTGGACATGTCTTACCAGGCTGGTGGTTGTAATCCAGAGGTTACACCTGGGCAATATTGGTCATTACTTCTCTGTTCTCATGAAAGCTAACCAGTAAACATGGAGCTCCCACCCAGGTCAGTAACCGCTTGCTTTCTCCAATAAGGTCTTATCTCGAGTTGTGGAGGATATCCAAGAACATTGGTGATAGGCTGTAATGTTTGAGGACTTTGTGACCTGGGGGTGGGGAGTGGGACGGGACACATGCCATGGTACATGTGTAAAGGTCAGAGGACTTAGGTCTTTTCCTTCTACCACATGAGCACTGGAGATCAAGTTCAGGTCGTCAGGCTTGGCTTGGTGGCAGGTCCCCCTTAGCAGCTGAGCCATCTCACTAGCCCCAAGAATTGTTTGGTTTTTGTTACATAGTTTTAATGCTTAGGTTTAGATCCATCTATTTTCTTTCATCTGTTTTAAGTTAACTCTTGCATATGGCATGCAAGTCCAACTCCACTGTATTCCATTAGAATATCCAATTTTCCCAGCACTGTGGTTGGAAGATTGTCTTGGCAGTTTGTATGGACTCCTCCTCCTACTGCTTAGATGTCCGTGTTAACTTGTGATGCAAGGGCTACAATGTTTGGTGTTAACTTGTGATGCAAGGGCTACCATGTTTGGATTACATTGTGTTTCAGCAGACTTTGTAGTAAAGAAAATAGGAGCCCGATAGTTTACTTCCGTTTCAAGATTATTGTGATTATTCACGTCTCTTTGGAATACCATATACATTTTAGGGTATGTTCTCCTGTTGCTTGAAATAAACACTGTTGGGCTTTTGATCGGGGCTGTATTGAATAGGTAGAGCCCCTTTGAGTAATAGTCAGTCTTAACAGATTTGTCATAGAGTCCATGAAAAGAGGGTATATTTTCATTTACATACATGTTTTCTAACTTTATTCAACAATAATTTTTAGTTTTTGTTTTTTGGGTTTTTTGTTTTTTTTGAGACAGTTTCTCTGTGTGGCCATGACAATCTGTAGACCAGGCTGGCCTTGAACTCAGATTGACCTGCATCTGCCTCCCAAGTACTGGGATTAAAGGTGTACGCCACCACCACTGGCTGTTTTTTAGTTTTTAGCATATGTCTGTCATCTCATTGGATAACTCCTAAGGATTGATGTTATTTTTAATACTGTTTGGTTGCTGTTGTAAGTGTATTATTCTTTGTGTGTGTGAGTACATGTGTGCAGTGTACATGCATGTGTGTGCACATACATGGGTTGTGGAGGTGTTGCTCCTGAGGAGTTACCGACCTTGCTTTTTGAGAAGAATCTCTCACCAGTAAATATATCCTGTGCTGGACTTTTCCTTTATCACACTAATTCGTTCTCCTTGGATGTTAGATATCTCCTTAAATTGTGCTTTTTCATGAGCCATTGTTGGTGTTTTGCATGTTTTTGAGATATTTGTTCATTTTATTAGGTTATTCACTTTCTGGTGCATAAATCATAGATTTTTCTTATTTATTGTTTTAGCTAGAGTTTTCTGGCCTGGCCCACAGTCAGGACAAATCTCTGTCACTCTCCAGTCCCACAGCCGCTCAGACCCAACCAAGTAAACACAGAGACTTATATTGCTTACAAACTGTATGGCCGTGGCAGGCTTCTAGCTATCTAGTTCTTACATCTTAAATTAATCCATTTTAATAAATCTATACCTTGCCACGTGGCTTGTGGCTTACCGGCGTCTTCACATGCTGCTTGTCCTGGCGGTGGCTGGCAGTGCCTCCTCCCACCTTCCTGTTCTCTCTATTCTCCTCTCTGTTAGTCCCGCCTATACTTCCTGACTGGCCACTGGCCAATCAGTGTTTTATTTATTGACCAACCAGAGCATTTGACATACAGACCATCCCACAGCATATTGTCTACTTAAATAGGTACTAATATCCACATTTTTTAAATTGTATTTATTTACTTGTGTTTGTGGCTCTTGAATGCCAGTGTGTGTGTGTGTGTGTGTGTGTGTGTGTGTGTGTGTGTGTGTGTGTGTGTGTGTGTAAGGACAACTTTTAGAGTCTCTTCTTCCTCACCATGTGTATTTGGAGGATAAAATTCAGTCACCAGGCTTGGCAGCAAGTCCCTACCTACTGATCCATGTCATCTTCTCATTGGTATTTTTTTCTAGGTCAGTGTAACATTTTCAAAGAACCAAATTCTTGTCTTGTTTATCCCCACTCTGTTCTTATTGTATACTTCTTTTTTCTAGTTTTGGATTTCATTGGCTCTTTGTTTTCTAATTATTATTTTGTTGTTGTTGTTTTGAGACAGGGTTTCTGTGTGTAGCTGTGGTTGTCCTGGGACTTGCTCTGTAGACCAGGCTGGCCTTGAAGAGATTTACCTGCCTCTGCCTCTCAAGTGCTAAGATTAAAGGTGTGCACCACCACCACCACCTGGAGTTTTCTGATCCCATGAAGTGTACTATTTGCCTATTTGAGATTTTCTTTTTGATGTAGACAGTACAGCTAGAACTTTCCTCAACACCTTTGACTGAACTCTCAAAGTTTTAGGGTATCAGTGTTTTGACTTGTTTCAAGGTGTATTCTGTGGTCTGTTGTGAGTTCTGTGGCCCATTAGTTAAGATTGTATTATGTTATCTTCACATATTTGTAAACTTTCCTTGTTTGATGCTTACTTTCATTTTATTGTAATCAGAAAAAGACACACACACACACACACACACACACACACACACACACACACACACACACACACACTTACTTCTGCCAGGGCTGTAGCTCAGTAGTAGAGCATTTGCCAAGCATGTTCATGTCCTGGGTTTAACCTAAAAAGAGAAAACAATGTATTCGAGTTTGTCTTGTGACCTTGTGGTCTGGGCTGCCATGTGTCCTCTGTGACCTAAGAGGAGGTGTGCACTATGGTTAAATGAAGTATCCTGCATCTGCCTCTAGGTCTAATACATTAATCTTTCAAGTCCTCTCTTTCTTCTTGTCTGTTTTTTCTAATTATTATTGTAAGTTGGCTGTCAAAATTTCCAGTTTATTGTAATCCTCTTAGCTATATTCCTTCTTCTTTTACTTTGCCCTGAAAGCCTTCTTACATCATGTTTTGTTGGGCAAGTCTGTTGGAAACAAATATCTTAATTTCAGTTTCATTTTTGAAGTATAGTTTTGCTGACTATAGTATTCTTGGTTAGCATTTTCTTTTTCCTTCCAGTGTTTAAATATGCTATTCTGGCCTTTAATCTCTAACGTGTCATTGGTTTTTAACCGTGTTGAAGGACCTTGTGTAGATTAAATAGCTTCCCTCTGGCTGCTTCAAGGCTCCTCGCTTTGGGATTTGTACACTTTTAATAAAAAGGTGTCTTGGTGGATTTCTTTGTGTTTATTCTTAGTAGGTCTTGTATACTTGTGTCTTTGGCATCTGAGCTAGGAGTTTGGGGCCAACATTTACTGTTTTTTAAATGTAATTATTTCCATTTTGCTGTCCTGAAGGAATTCTCACGATGCTGAATTCATGTGTGTACTTGGTGGGGTCCCAAATGTCCCTGGTGCTCAGCTTATTTATTTACCAGAATATTTTTCATTGTTTGATGGCAAAGTAAGTATTTATTTGTACTGTTGTAAATTATGAACAAAGGAGCCCTTCCCGAATGTACATGGTTACTCAGATGTACTACGGTAAGAAGTCATTTTTATCCCCTCTTGCATCTACTTAAACCCACCAGGATCTCTTTAATGTTCTCTGTTAGCAGGCAGCTTCCACTGTTTTCCATCTCGAGAGTTCCTTTTCTTGAAAATCCAGAATTCTGTCTATATTATTTCCTACTTTCTACTCTTTCCCCAGGTTCAGGAACTTCCATTTTAGTTATTTTTATATGACTTTGTTTGCAGTTATGAAGATATCTTTACATTCTTGTTTTCGTGCCAGATTTATATTTTGCATTTGCAGCGTAACTCAGTTTGGACTGAACCACTTTTTAGGTGCTCATTGGCCACATTGGCTTATATTTTGGATAGCTGACCTCCATGCTATAATACAGAATCCATATATAATTGATTATTTTATGGTTTATTATGTTATCCTTATTCTAGAGCAATAGGCAAGAACCATGGTCAGCAAACTTTAGAATACGCTGTGTTCAGGTTCTGTAGTAATGCTATGTAGTGAGATAGACATTAGGGACCATATGGCTGTGTTAGAGAGAGTAGGGTCTGAAGCGTTGGTAGAGCGTGTGTTGATCTTGCTTGGGAGCTGGATTATGAGCACCTGCCTCGCATGCATGAGATGCTGCATTTCATCCTTAGCATTGAAAAGAATTATCTAGTATGACTTAGTTTCAAGTGTATAGAGACACTCGCGTCAAGTGGAGTATTCCAAGGGCTTACAGGTTCTCTTCCAGGAGCCTCTCCCAGGTGAGCTTTGGTGAGGTTAGTTTCTCCTCTGCTGGACATGGTGCTTCCTGAGCCTTCTCGAAAGGAGGGCTTCTGTAGTGTGAAGTCTTTTTGTTGTTCTTGGGCTTCTGAGATAAGGTCTCACCCAGTGTCTCCAGTCCAGCTGGGAATTCACTGTATAGCCCATACTGCCCTGACATCAATCAGCCTTTCCAGGGGCTGGGGTTACAGGTGTGAGCCACCATGCCTAGCTCTAGCGTACGGTCTTAGGGAACACAATGATAGTTGAGAGCGACTCACTTAATTCACTTCGATGTCTAAGATGTTGAAACAGATGTCCTGAATTGCTACTGACGGCCATGGTGGATCTGTGTCCAAAGGTGCAGCTATCAGAAGTGAAGCGGAGAGCATTTAGGACGTCTACAGTTAGCACACGTAGGGCATGTCTACAGTTAGCGTGTTCTTTGGAATCAGCTTAAGCTTGCTGGGCTGCCTCCTGTTGACATCTGTGTATTATCTTGTCTAACCCATACCAGAGCTTCCATTTTGCCTGTGAGGGGGTAACTTTATAAGTGAACTGAAGTCCTTCGGAAATGCTAGGGGCGTGAGACCATTTTGAAGGGATGTAAGGCTCTCCGTCAGTCCAAACTTGAGTAGATTCAGGAGGGAAGGGAGAGAAACGCTGTCTTTCTA